AATACTTTGAAAGGAAATAGCTTTACAAGCTAATATATCTTACCATAGGACAAGAGTTATTAGAAGCTATCATCACTGTATAAATAATTATATTGTTGCATGCACACTAAATTCTAGTGGGATTTTGTTGCTACAGCTACAAAAGAATCTGATTACATCTCCTGTGTAGCTTAATTGAACTGAAATGACTGTGTTGTGTTCTATACAGTTTTGGTAATGTTTCAGTTTTCTGAGTGAAACGCTGGCAGACCCAATTAATCTTTTTCCTACGTAAGTCTAGATAATTTATTTGCATAAAGAATATTAATTAGATGTACATGCATATTGGTGGGGTAAAGTTTATTCCAACTCATTGCCTTTGAAAAAGGAATTCAAAATGCTGAAGAAGGATTTTGTCTAAAGTTGTATCCTCAACTTGGTTTGTTTTGTTTAGAAGAAACATTGTATATATTTGGTATACACTAGATGTGATCTGAGGAGCACAGGTACTGCTCCATTCTTCTGCCTCCAGGGATCAAGATGCCAAAAAAGGCGACAGAAGGTGGGATTATGTGGTGAGAAGCCCCATCTCCTCACTGCCTTCTCTGTCACCCTTTTTGGCTCCTTCTTTCATGGCAAGAATAAGTAATGCCTACAATCCACAGAGCACAGGCTGCTATTTTAGGATTCCCTTTGTGACCCCGCTGTATGCTATTTAGATAGTTTAATCATGTACATGATTTCTAGTTTTGTTGGTATTTTCTTATTCTAGTATCAGTAGTTTAGGGCTTGTAACAGGGTCCACGACCTGGCCATCTTCCTGGGGCCCACTTGCTCCCCCAATAAGGCTCAGAGAGGCTTCAGGGTTGTGCAACACCTGTGTCTTTATTTACTTAAGGTTATCCCACCACCAGTGTCTGTCTATATACAAGCTTTACAGGATTAGCCAGCTCCTTTACCGGCAGAGTCAGCCTTCAACTAGGAGGCCTCCAGTTCCCTCCCTGACTGACTTCTCCCTGGCTGCCCTACAGCCTTCTGGCTCCCTCCCAACCTTTATAGCCCTTGACTTGTCAGGCCCGCAGGTGTTGCCAATCCTCAGGCTGGCATCAGGCCTTTTCCATCTGCCCCAATCTGTTTCCCCTGATTGGAGCTGACTGGGCAGGGACTAATTAGGTGCTTTTGCACCAGCACCCTGCTACAGGGCTCCACTGTGCCCGTTAGGCACAGCCCAAAGTATGGGGTAGAGTGCAGCACCAGCCGACATTCTTCTGCCTCTATAAGTTAACATGCTCTTGTACTACTTCCCATTCTTACCTCCGCAAGAGTTCTTAAGAAAATCAGACAGGATTCTGGATTCCATATTACTGGTTTTCACATGGCCTCATTAATTTGGTTGGTTAGATCTCTGACTCTGTCAGTGGCTGGAGCCCAAGACAGTGTCCCCCCCCCCCCCCCCCCGCCTGGAGTTGTTCAAGAAATTGCTATCTGTAGGAATTTGCTACATCAGATAGCAGTTTTTTTACAATTCCTTCCATATGAGTAACTGCTACAGTAGCAAATTCTTACATGTAGCAGTTTCTCACACTACAGGCATACTAAATAAAAACTACCCCCCAAAACCCTGCAACCAGGGGTCTGGCGGCCACGGCAGTGCCAAGGGAGGCTGAGCCTCCCCTGGCCTATTATACCCGTTGCCTACGGGGACCCCTCTCACGAGGTCTTCCTGAGACAGGCAATAAACTCCCTTCTTTGTTTAGGAATGATAGTCTGTCTCTGCTCAACATGAGGGAAAGGGCTTCTAATCGAGCTACTTTCTCATGCCAAAGAAAAATGGAAGGTGGAGGCTGATTTTAGTTTTAAGACTACTAAACTAATTTTGTAAAAAGTCTCAGAAGTTCGTGATGATGACTCTGGCAGCTATAATTTCTTCACTAAATTCAAGGGATTTGTTTTTGTCCCTCAACCTACAAGATGCATATTGCCATATAGTGATACACCCATCTCACAGAAAATAAAACAAACATTTGTTACAGACCATGATCATTTCAATACTGAGTTCTCCCCTTTTGACTCACCTCAGCTCCAAGAGTGTTTTCAAAGGTTCTAACAGTGGTGGCCACTTACCTTCATTGAGAGACGATTTTAGTATTCCTGTATCTCAATGATTGGCTGTTCATGGGTCAGTCTTATGAAAGAATGCTGTCAGCTACTCAGAGGGCTTTTTCTCTGTTCCTGGAATTGAGTCTTCAACTTAATGTAAAAAAATCCATGTTGACCTCTACAGAAAATACTGTTTGTGACCAGGGTTCCAGTGGGGGCCAGCTATGGTCACTCAATTAGGGTGAACTGCAAAGAATGGGGCAGACAATCCCCATAAAGCTGGTGGATATTTCAATACTTAGATTTACCAAGCCAGCATACAACAGCGTTTTTATTACCTTACTGCTTACTCAGAAGTCCAAACAACACAGTTCCCTTAAAGTGATCCAACCTGAGGCCTCCATCTAGGTACCTAAGTTAATTATGATGATTTCTGAAAATCTTATTTCATCATATAAAAGAAAAAGTTCTGCCAATACAAAAGGATCGGACACATTACCTCCCAGGTTATTGACTATTCCAGATCATACCCAAATACATGCTACAGCCAATTCTTATTAACTAAACTAAAATTTATTAAAAAAACAAAAGAGAGAGGAAATGGTTAAAAAGATCAATATACATACAGACATGAGTTCAGTTCATTGAGGTTTAGATTCATAGCAGAGACGGTGAGCTTTACAGTTGCAAAGAGTTCCTTTAGAATTCAGTTAGTAGATTATAGTCCAATGTCCAAATATCATATTCAGGGCATACCAGCATAACTGGGACCTCAGTCTTGCGACTCAAACTTCCCCTGATGAAGCTTAAGCAGATCTGAGATGACAGAATCAGGATCCAAGGTTCTTTTATACAATTTCATGTCCTCTTTGGCAAGTTGAGAGTTTCTCTGGGAACAAAAGGTAATTAGGATGACTTTGAAGGAGGTCCATCACCGGTACACCTCTACCTCGATATAACGCTGTCCTCGGGAGCCAAAAAATCTTACTGCGTTATAGGTGAAACCGCGTTATATTGAACTTGCTTTGATCCGCCGGAGCACGCAGCCCCACCCCTCTGGAGCGCTGCTTTACCGTGTTATATCAGAATTCGTGTTATATTGGGTCGCGTTATATCGGGGTAGAGGTGTACTTAGCTACAGAAATAACATAAGTCAATTTGCTTGTGCCTCCACCATTCATAGTATATTTCAAAGAGAGGTGAATACCAAGAATATCCTGTGTTTACAATTCATTTAAATGCTAGGATGTTCTTTTGATTTCTGAACTATCAGAATACAGCATAGACAGGGACTGTTGATTACATTGTCAACCTTACTCATACATATGTAAATACACAAACATCCCTCCACATGTCTTTTGAGGGTTATTTATGAATGAAAAGTCAGACTTTTTACACCATAAAAACACTGGGAATAAAAAGAAAATGCTAAAAATATGGACACAAATGCAGAACAGGTTTTATAAAATCCTTGACCTTCCAGGCCTCCAGATCCAAGGGAAACTCTAGCCAGGAAAACCCTACAAGAAAATGTTATTGGTACTGGAATTGCTGGAAATGAAAAATATATTATCTTCTTCAGAAGAGAACTTTTAATTATTAACAGCAAAAATAAGCCAGTGCAGGATCATGCTTTCTTCTCACGGTGAAGGAAATGAATTCACAAGAACACAGAAATCCCGGTTATCAAGAAAGTCCGTGAAATAGGCAATGGGGGTGGGGGGTGGGTACCAAAGAGCAGAGACAGTAGAGAATATTGCCCCAGTTCAAAATCTTGGTGGTCCTTGAAAGTTTGATGACAGCTGTGGATTTGTATTGCCCAATATTCCAGCTCGGGCTGGGATACTGAAAACCACGCTGTTTGTTTTGAAGTAATGCTGCCATAGACGTGGCAAAGCGGCCCTCCCAACCAAAGAGAGTCTGGAACCAGAGTGATTGAAGTCTTTGTTAAATTTCTACATCACCGACAATAATTAGTTACTATTGTACATCTTTGTAATCATGATTATGGCAGCAGCATATCTCTCATCAACATAGGTTAGATTTTTGCAATTTGGGGACTAAGCAGTAATGAGGGCCAATGTTCTTCAGAAGCCCTATGGCAGGAGTAGTTAATTTGCTATAATTTATTAAACATTTTGTTTTTGTTTTTGTGCAGTAATTCTCAACATTTCCCCTACAGGACTCTTTTTTCCATACTGTAATCTAGCTGGGGCATTTCTCCCACTTGGCAACATCAGAAGGGCAGATTCCTCACCTCCTCCTAAAACATGTTCACAATCTCCAGTTTAAGGGCTATGTTGCTATTGTTTCAGCGTGTCTGCAGATTCAGGCATGCATTACTCACCAGTTTATGCTCAGTTCACTTTTTCAAGTTTATCTCTGCAACTATTAGGACTAGAAACATAATATATTTTAATTAAAGGATAAGAAAAGGAGGAGGATTGTGTCCCTCCTGAAAACTGAAGTAGACCCCTACTTTGAGAACTCCTGTTCTAATTCCATTTCCTTTCTGTTGCTCCTGTTTGAGGCAGTTTTGAGGCACCATTTCATGTAATGTCATCAGTTGGCATCTAGGGCTGTCTTTGATAGTGTGAAAGAATATCTATACAGCAAATGAACAACATGTACCAGTTTTCATTCATACATATTTTGACATTTCCTTTGTTACTATAAATATATATAAAATCCAATGATATTACTGGGTAAAATACGTAACTTAAAATAGCTTTGATGGAAAATAAATGGTATGGTTCTAAATAGCATATCCTTCAAAACAGGTTTTTGATAAAATGTATTATGAATAGTATAGTTTTGATCAATTTGTAGATTCTACTTATATGCAGTTGATATGTAATATGTATGGTGAATTTAATGCTACAGGTCCTGTACATTAATTGTGTTTGTTTGCTCTATTTCAGACGGTTCGCCATGGTTTTCCTTATTTGCCCACTGCCTTAGCTTTTGACCCAGTTCAGAAAATTCTGGCTGTGGGGACAAGAACAGGAGCCATACGAATGTATCCTTTCTTATTCAAAGTCTTTACAGTTTTACTTTTGATACTGTAGTGACATGAATCAGCTTCATTCCACAAACACTCAGGTAAGATACATTTTATAACATTAAATTCTGATATGTTTTACTTTACTGTTTAGACTGGAAAAATTATCTGAAAAAAGTTGTAGTTTTCTGGAATTTATATTGGCTTATTAATGTGACTAAGGATGACATTTCACGCATGAATTACTGGCTTATGAATAACACTGGCAAATACATAGTTAATTTTTATGCTCCGTATGTGAAAGTGAAGGGATTAAAAAACAGTAGGTTAGGTTCCAAACAAGAATACATATGGAGGAAATTCTTTTAGATATTTTCATTCTTCATGAGTTTCTTCAAAAGTGAATATCCATTTATAAAATTGGGCATTGTTACAATAATATTTTGCCTTGACGTTTTGATGTTTATAATTTAATATGCATAACTCCTCAACTCTCAGTCTTGAGCCTAGGATACTTTTGGAACTCATTTTTACAAAAGATTAGGATGACCATGAGCCTCACTGGGAGGGAAAGAGAAAGAACTGGAGGTCTCTTTTTAATATAAATTTAATTTTGCAAAATGTTCAGATAACATATTGATGAGTGTGGTAGAAATGTTGCACTACCGATAGATAAAATTAGTTAACCTGTCAACATAGGGAAAAATTCAATACAAAAGAAATGAAAATTCAAACATGGTCTGATTTTTGAGAATCTAAAAAGTACATTTCAAAGTTCTGAATTACAGGATGTTCCTTTGAACACATTTCTCAATTTCTCAAGGCCCAAATAGTTCCACCAAACTGGGATACATGTCAATAAAGGAGAGACAAGAAAAATAGTGCAGGAGAGTTAAAATGTTATGGGTTTGATGTATTTAATAGAAGGTTTTTTGTTTTTTTTTTGTAACCTCAGTTTACAGGTTCAGCACTTCTGCTGTAAATAATTGGCAATAAGTGAGAACATGAGTGCCCTGGTCCTATGAACTCTAACACATAAGCTTAACTACAACCCAAGAGAATTTCAGTTTTAAGCTTCTCAATACTTGTGCACATTATATACCCCTATAAATCCCAGGTTTAAAACTGAAAGATATTTTATGAAGTATGGTCAGTTTACTCTATACAGATTCTTCTACTCTCCCCATCACCATGGTGCCTACGAGTCTAGTGACAGCAGAGGCAAGGTGCAAATAAAGTGAAAATCGTTTATTTGGAAACTCAGCCAGTGTCTCACGTAACACATTTAGCAACCAGGACTTTGATTCCTCACATCTTAGAGTGCTCTTGTGCTCAATAAATTTTATCCTCAAAGGTCTTGATGTTTTTCCAATATAAGCCTTCCACAAGGACACTAAACCAGTTATACCACAAAGTCTGTGCTGTTGGTGATTCTGCTCTTAATATAACTTTATTTACCTCAGTGAGGTAGATAGAATATATCCCATTGAACACATACGTTTCTGGCATGGAAAATCTCTGCATGTTCTGTACTTCTGACAGACCACAGCTCAAATGGTCAAATTGTACTCTGCTATGGAAGGGGACTAGAGCTTTACCTCTGGAAGTTTCATTCACACTGTCGCCTCAGACCACTGAGCCCTTTGCCCTCCTCTTCCCCCCACCCCAGCAGCCAGGCTCTTGTAGGAGCTATGCTGCTATTGGCCAGGCACCCTATGGCTACATAAAATTCCTGCTCTAAGGAAAGTGCAGGTGCAGAGCCCAAGTTAATGCTTCTTTCAAGCAGTGGTGTAGCTAGGAGTGGAAATTTGTGTGGGCGGGCAGACTGCCAGCTCAGCGTCTCCCCCAACACCACACCCTCTTCCTAGCCCTGGTGCCCCCAGAAATGGCTTCACCTGCCAAGCTGATAATGCACATGGAGCAAGGACCCCACCCTCATGCTCCAGTGTGGGTAGCTGCTGGGCTAAAAAAAGGCCCCCTCCTTCGGGCTGAAATTCCCCACATTCCTTAAGGCACAGATGGGGGATAATAGGCAATGATCTCCCTCTTCAGTTGAGCAGAGTCCAAAGGCTACATCTCCCTGCCCACTCCGCCCTCCCCCCGCAGGGTACCCAGCCAGGGAATCATAGAATATCAGGGTTGGAAGGGACCTCAGGAGGTCATCTAATCCAACCCCCTGCTCAAAGCAGGACCAATTCCCAACTAAATCATCCCACCCAGGGCTTTGCCAAGGCTGACCTTAAAAACCTCTAAGGAAGGAGATTCTACCACCCCCCTAGGTAACCCATTCCAGTGCTTCACCACCCTCCTAGTGAAAAAGTTTTTCCTAATATCCAACCTAAACCTCCCACACTGCAACTTGAGACCAGTACTCCTTGTTCTGTCATCTGGTACCACTGAGAACCAGAACTAGATCCATCCTCTTTGGAACCCCCTTTCAGGTAGTTGAAAGCAGCTATCAAATCCCTCCTCATTCTTCTCTTCTGCAGACTAAACAATCCCAGTTCCCTCAGCCTCTTCTCATAAGTCATGTGCTCCAGCCCCCTAATCATTTTTGTTGCCCTCAGCTGGACTCTTTCCAATTTTTCCACATCCTTCTTGTAGTATGGGGCCCAAAACTGGACACAGTACTCCAGATGAGGCCTCACCAATGCCGAATAGAGGGGAATGATCACATCCCTCGATCTGCTGGCAATGCCCCAACTTATACAGCCCAAAATGCCGTTAGCCTTCTTGGCAACAAGGGCACACTGTTGACTCATATCCAGCTTCTCGTCCACTGTAACCCCTAGGTCATTTTCTGCAGAACTGCTACCTAGCCATTCGGTCCCTAGTCTGTAGCAGTGCATGGGATTCTTCCGTCCTAAGTGCAGGACTTTGCACTTGTCCTTGTTGAATCTCATCAGGTTTCTTTTGGCCCAATCCTCTAATTTGTCTAGGTCCCTCTGTATCCTATCCCTACCCTCCAGCGTAAACAGGTTTCCTGAGCCTCGCCATCTTGGGAAGAAAGAGAGTTTATCCAGAGAGGGGAGGGAAAACTGGGGTGGGGGGGCTGGATGGGGGAGGGCAAAGGCCAAGGGCCAGAGTTGGGGGGAAGGGGCAGGACATGGGTGAGGCAGCAGAACTGGGGGGCATAGCAGAGCCTGGAGCTGGTGGTACAGGGATGGGAGTGGGGTGCAGGAGGGATTGGGGGGGTTCAGGAGGGATCTGGGGCCCTGGGGAGGGGGGCAGGAGGGATCGGGGGGCCTGTGTCCCCCCCACTCCCTCTAGCCGGCCCTTACCACTCAGCAGGCACCAGAAGATGAGGCTGCCCGGTGTGCACAAGCTAGAGTTCTGCCCACCCCTCTCAACTCCGGCTCAGTATCCGTCCGCCTGGCCAGCCGCATCCCTCTGTCCTGCTGGTGCCTCTGTGTCTGTGTGACCTGCACTGCTGCCTCTGTCTCTAGCGCCCTGCTCATGCCCAGCCCAGTCATGTGCCTAGGCGCCCGGACTGGCTTCGTTCCGGCCCCAGCGCTGGCCCCACCTATACCTGCCCCCACAAGGCACCCCCCCACACCTGGTTCAACTCCCTCCTTCCCAGCCTGTGGATTCGGATGGCTCCAGCCCTGCCCGCACTCTTCCTGTATTTCAGGTGCCTGAGTGATGCTCCTGGCCACTGAGGCAGCACTACCCCTCTGCTCAGATTTGGGTGGGCCTGGATGCTAAGTGGGTGGGCTGCAGCTCACCTAGCCCCACCCATGGCTATGCCTCTGTTTTCAAGTAGCATTAAATTAAGCCTGGATATCCTCTATCACAGGAGGGGAAGATTTTGTGGAGAAGAGCTGTGCCCCTACTCAACCCCGCAATTATCTGTGGAGGGGCTTTCAAAGTAAGGAGGGGAACAATGCTGCTGAAGTGGCACTTCTTTCTATACCTTTCCAGACCAATCTGCTAGCTTAGAGTCCCCTCCGTTTATGGAAAATTTAATAATAATTCTAATATCTGAATCAATCAATAGCATCACTCAAGTTTCTCTACCTATGTGTAATTAGAGAGAGAGAATAATATACTGTTGTTCATTTCTAAATCTCTTGTTAAAATACCCTAGTGTTTGAATATTCCTAATATTCCTCTGACATGAATGTGCCTAATATTCCTCTGACAGCTATTGAATGTGAGGACAGATGTATTAAATTAATGCCATTTTTAAATTATGGGAATACTAGAGGAGTACTAGAGCATCTGAATTTTTTAAAAAGCATGTTCATTTTCTCTCTTACAATGTGCACATGGTTAGTCATTTTAAGCCAAATTTATTACAATCATTTGTTTCTGGGCTAAGACCTGTTATGCTAACTTCAACATTTTAAAAACTGATTTATTGTTACCCTCCTAAAAATTGAATTTATAATAGAGAGACTTTTAAAATATCAAAAAACAGTGCAGGTTTTAATGACTTTCTATCTTACAGTCTTCTGCGTAAAGTGCTTCTAGTGGATCAGCACATAGTGTCCTGAAACTGATTTGTGTTAGATAATAATAGAATGGAGGAACTACTTCAATATACCTTGCTGTTGCTTTTGTAGTTTCTGCTGTTGGTGCCATTGAACAGTCCTGGTGATGGTACAAGAAGGACAATTTGGCCATCATGAAGGAAATTAATTCAATACCAGCCTCCGACTAGACTGGATTATTGATTATTTATATTGTGGTATCTCCCAGAAGACCCAATTAAGATCAGGATCCTGTTGTGTTAGACAACACAAACACATAGGAAGACAGAGTTACTCTCCAAAATGCTTACAGGGGTTATGGAATGAATCTGCCTTTGACCAATGCAAATCATGTGGTGGCAATATTTCTTTTCTTTCCAGCAAAGAAACTATTCTGTGGCCCTAAACTCTTAAAGGTAGATCCAAAAACACTGACACAAGCTAGAACAAGATGCTACAGTTCATGATTTCTCTGTGATATTAAATTAGGGACCTAGATAGAAATTAGACATACATATGGAGGAGGTGAATTTTTCTGTCCATTTT